GGCTTTCGTTAAAAGGGGTCATATTATAAACCCTCAATACTGTTCTCATTTACTACGTATTCTTTAATATTCCTCAAATAAATTATTTGTGCTATTTTTATTAGGCATATTTCGAAAAGCTCTGATTTTTTTATTGTTTTCTTCATATTCTTCCCCAAACCAGTCAGTTCTTTTTAATATTTTTTCTCTCCCAAACTACCTATTTGCTAATGAGATTATAAAATTATTGTTATTCTCACTAAGCAAATTTAAAAATATGATTTGAAATTAATAGCAAATTTAAGAATCATTTAGCTTCTCTCAGAAAATAAAAGAACACATTTTTTAAGCTCTTTTACAAAAGAAATTAATTCCCATAATTTGCAAATCGCTAAATAGGTATTAGAGTCCACGTTTGTCTTTCTGAAAGATTACAAATCAGTAGATCTGAGAGATATCTAGAACTAATTATTAATGATCGATCTGTCTGATGTAGAATCCATCAAAAAATCTACACGTCACACTTTCAATTTTCTTATGTTGAGGTCATGTTTTTAAAATTATCATATTATGAGAAAAATCAGAAATAATTTGTCTATTACCATTATTATTTAATTCCACTTGTAGACAGTATTTTCCCGTACCGGTCTAAATGCTTCTCATGACCTATTTTGGTATTGATGTCACTCACAGAGTGATGTGCTTTGTTTTAATTACAAATATGCGAATTCAACTAATTTAAAGTTGCTTTAATTTATTTTTAAGAGCGTTTTTTATATCATAAAATTAATTCCATACATTTTTCTCCATTGACAGATTTCTTCTGTGGCTGTAAGTATATATCACATAAAACTAAAACTAGTTATAATCATCTGTAAACTTTGAATGATTCAATATGCAATTTATAATAACTAAAAGCCTTTAAAAGTGTCGAAGAACATTTAATTCGATTTACAACAGTTTACGTGAAAAATAGTATTGCAATTTTAGTGTAAGAAAAATATTTTAAATCTAATCTGATTTAATTTAATTTCTTAAAGAACATTCATAATTAGCTGTGAAATTTGTATTGGCTAAATTAATATAATATTTATAACTTTATAAACTCGGAGCATGTGAGTCTTGCGATGAATTTCTTTCTCCTTCAGCATGTCCTGAAAGGCTTAAAATAATATTGCTACGTTCTATTTTAATGAAGTGAACCATTTGATGGAAAAGACTGATGAGAAATAAAAAGATCATCTATTCAAAGATGAGGAATGACACAAATAAGGAACAGGTGCATCTTAATGTCCCCTTATTCAAGCAGAGATAATGTCAGGAAGCTATAGTTTAATCCTCTCTTGATTTTTAAAATTTTAAAGCCACGTTAAAACAGAATGACCGGCACGTAGTAAAAAATTCAGTTTGCATAAATAACCTGCATTTTTGACTGCTTCTTTTCCGGTAACGCAATAGTCTACGATTTGGCAATCTTTTGCTTCAATACGGAATGTGATCTTTTCGGTCAATTTAATGAAGCAAAGTGGCATTTAATACTTCTCAACTTGGGTCATTGTTGAGATTAAAGCTGCTCTTCAAATCCGGCTAAAATCAAATCAAGCTAAGATTGATGCTTATTTCAAAGTATTTTTCAAGGCTCCTGATATTTTGGAAACTATTTAAACATTCCATTTGCTTTTTTTTATACAAATGCGTCTCTATTTTAGAAAATCTCCTCTGTAATCTTTCGTAATGCGTATATAAGCAAAAGAAGCTCCTTAATTCAACAATGTTTGATAATTTTCTTTTTTTTTTCATAAACCATTCATTAGAGCTTAATTTTTCTTCTTCTTTAAATACATCAATTAATCCTTTATAGCAGAAAAAACTTTTTCCTCATGCCGCAATCTTCATCCAAAAGAACTCATTTTTTTATTTTCAGAAATTCACGAAATGCACCTGGATCGCTACTGTTCTTTCACTGGCTTCATTAAATGCTTCCGACCATTATTTATTACACGTATTTTATGAATGGAAAAAGTTTCTGCTTACGAAACAATTTTACTCCTTTGTGAAATTTCTTCATTCCGTTGCAAAGTTCGTCATCCTTTGCATATTTAGTGTATTTGTCTGTATATGGCAATCATTCCGAAATTTTACGCTCTGTTTTAATGATGGGTTCTTTAAGAGAAAAATACTGATATATGAATCAAAAAATTATTTATTTACAGGTGAAGAAAAATAAATAAAGAGTAGATACATCGTAATATGCAGTGTTTCAAGAACATGTACACTTACTTAACATTAACAAACTATCATTAGAGTTCATAATTCCATCTGATATGATCTTTGTCTAATGGAACATCTCAATCTTACGATTAGGGCATCAGCGAGTTTCTATAGAAACAGTCTCTCAGGTGCATAATTTTATAACTTCGAAGGAATGTATCAAACTCACTAGGTACGGTTTACGTAATTGCTTAAGTCCTCACAAAAATTATGAAAGCAACTGTAACATTATATTAAGTTGCCTAACTTAAATAAATCTTTAAATTAATACAAAACTGAAATAGACACTATTAATTAACTTGAATGTGATTAGAATAAATGAAAATAAAATAATATTGAAATGGATTTATATATGTTATTATATTTTAAAATTTTTTTAACCATTTAACCATAAATAATTGCTATAAACTGTCCGTAAAATACTGAAGTAATTTTACTTATTTTAGTCAATAGAGTGTTTAACAGTAAGTTTTTTTCTTACTTTTATTTCTTGTGCATTTGTTATGTAAGCTAAACATTATGTTTTTCTAACTTAACAATTTAACGATTCAGGATGTCTACTCAAAAACAGGAATAAATGCTTTTATTAATATCAAGAATTTATAAACGCTTACTATTCTTTTAAAATCAGAGTAACTAATTCTACCAATCATATCCCTGTAGATATTGCAATTCTTTTATACTAATGCATATACACCTATTGCGGCAATTCTATTTGGAAATAAGTGAGGTATATTGATTATAATGAATACATAAAAACTGAAAATAAACCTGGTTAAAGTCATACATTTTCCGTTTCGTTAATTATATTTCAGACTATTTATAGTAATAATATATAACTTTCAGCATTTTAAAGAGTAGAAACTCTATTATTTGTAAAAGAAAAATACAAGCATAATTAAAAAGATCATAATATATATTTAATTTAATCAGACAATTTCGTTACACGGATAAAAAAAAGAAATCCTATAGATCTCTAATGATCAAAGTTATTTTATAGCTTTAATGAATTATTTACAGTTATTTTTAGATTTTAGAGGTATGTTTGAGGTTTCAACGAAAAATATCTAGAATTAGCTACACTCTCTTCGATTTTCTAGGCAGTAGACAGTTTTTCTAGTGTTATGCAATGAGGGGTAATATTTTGGGATTTATGTATGTTAAACTAACAACCCAAAGAATTATTTCCTACCACTAGTCACAGAATTAGCAATATGTGATTACGAATAATATGTGAATAACAAATATGAAGAAAAAAAATTTTAATTTAAAATAGTATATTACGTATTCTTCTATTACGTGATAAAACTTATGAATTGAAATTGCACTCATAAAATATTTTTTTCAAAGCGCTTTCAATGGTATTTAGTGACGGAAGCAAATTATATTTTCCTTTATAAATTTAATCTAATATATTTTTTAGTTTAAAATGTACTGCTTTACAATAATTTTGAGTTAAAATTATTTAAATTACCTAAAACAATTTTATAATAACTAGATTTGTTATTGCAGAAATCGGGAGCAAAGGTAAGTAATGATTGAATGCCTTCATGCTCTAAATGTTTATCATAATGCCTGTAATTTTTCTTTTTTTTTTAATATTAAAAAAAATATCCTATTATTTAACATAAAATATAAGTTACCTGCAATTTTATTTTTATTTTCAAATATGATACTTCTGAACATAAAATATTTCTAAAATTTGTTGTGTTATTATATGCGTTAACTTAAATTTTCATAATCCTGATCTACACAATGTTTATATATTATTTTTTTCTTAGCTGGAAAAGGTAATATATTTTTAGTTTGATTACAACTTGACGAACATAAAAGTAAGAAATAAAATTTTTATTAAATTTGTATTCATCATTATTTTTTTGTCATCAGGCGGTAAGTAATTAATTTTTTCACAGAGAACAAAAAGACAAAATAAGTACTTCAAAAAGAAAAGCATATTTTTTATAATTTGCCAATAATTTATATAATTTCCTGTTACTTTATATAATAACTTGTATAATTTCTTCTTATTTTATATATTTTCTTGTAATTTGTTGAATCAACATGTTGTAATCAACATGAAAAAATATATTTGATAAATGGAATTAAAGACAAAATCACATGGCCTAAAAATGAGAATTCTTCTAAAATCAATAATGGCAACATTCTACAATTGGTTAGTCCATTTGTGAGACCAAGAAAATACTAAAACAAATTCTCACATTTTAATATTCTGGTTATTATTTAAAGTCAAATTATTGATTAGATAAAATGGATATTGTTTGTAAAAATTGTAACTCCAGGGAAGAATTATCAGGTAGGAGAGAAATTTTTTCCGGAAATTTCAGATAATATCACAAATAAGAGATCAAATTTGCAAAACTAAACATAAGAAGGATCGTCGGAAATTAGTAGTTTATGTGTTCTCCACGCTGGGGAATAAGAGCATATTGACCACTATTTAAATGTTTACCGCAGGCAGCAGTTTACCAAAATTTAATGATTTAAATGTTTACCGAACAGATTCCAAAAAAATTTTACTATACTTTATATATTTTAATGCTCAAAATTAATAGAATTCGAATATTTTGTTGAATCTTATGAAAACAACGAAGCTAAATGTGAAACTACTACTGTATATATGTCCAGTAATATTTTTTGTTTGCCCTCTTTTTAGTAACAACTATTTTCGATTTAAAAATATACAATGAATTAATTAAATCAGAAAACGCTTTTTTATACAAAACTTTTAATGCCTTTCTTGTGCATTTTATCTTGCAGATCTTTTAGGAGGAAGTAAGTACTGTTTTCAGGAAATCTTGAATAAACTAATTTAAGGTATATCTATAATTTACATTTTTTTAAATGAAAAATTATTTTGTTTCATAGTCCTGAGCGGTGCAAACAGTAAGTCAAGTTTATATCAGTTTATACTCTAAGTGTTATACAACCATTATGCTGTAACTTTCATTTTTAATTTAATTCATTTGTTTCATTTTAATTCCGTTCAATGTTCGTCTAATTACCATTTCAGCATTCATAACTGGAGGTAAGCTTTTCGTATTTTCTGCTTCCTACATTTTCTAGTAATTTCATAGTAAATAATTTTTGCGATTAATATTAAAATAATTTCAAAGATTACGTTTTGCTGTTGAAGAGTTGTTAAATAAACTCATTGATCTTAATTTAGAACTTATTAAAATGGTTTATATTTATTTTTTAAACAAACTTAAATATTGAAAAATTGACAACTTGATAGGGAAGCGAATATGCTCTTTGAAAAATTTATGTCACACAATACTGGTATTTAAGCTTTCATAAAAGTATATGTCATTTCTATTCTCCAAACAAAAAACGTACTTTTTGTGCTCACGCAATGCTAGCTTAAATTGCTGAACATTTTTGTACAATCGATGAATTTAGAGTTAATTGAAAGAGTGTGGTAGAAATATATCAATTATTTAGATTAATAAAGAGACAGTTAGGGTCTAAAAGAATTATTAGAAGACAAATAAGAATTCTTTGTAATTAATTTTAATTATCTCATAATTAATCTTATTTTAAATTCGAATTTTTTTCAGTTGATGGCTCATTCTAGGTTCATAAGAACTTAGATAAAACGAAAAAGAAAAATTGTTATATTCAGTGTTATCTCTGAAAATTATCTGCTTAAAATTATACTGAACAAAGTCAAAAACGTGTGGAATAAAAAATAATTTTTTATTTTATTCAACAGCTGGAAGTTTCTTTGGAAGTAAGTAATATTCTAAATACTTTAGTTCTTGTGATTTTTATAGTAATAATGAAAATTTGAATTAAATTTCCCGTGAATTTCAATTAAATTTGCCGGTTTATTTATATCAAGTTTTAAAGAGATTAACTATTGAGTTGAGTAAAATTTCATTGTGATTTTCGATTTGCAACATATGACAGTAGCTTTGTTTCTGAAATATTTAGAGCATTTGGGTTAGTAGTTGTTATGTCACTGATAGGGGACAATTTAAGCTTCATGTTATAAAACAAATCGAACAATGTTGTAAAGTTTTAGAAATTTTACAGCACGGCATAGGGTTGGCTTTTCCTATTAATTTGTTAAGTGTTACTATAATTGTTTCAATTTAGTCTCGCTTTTTAAGTCCATGTGAAGCGATAAATATATATTTGGAGATACTAACTAGTTTGACAACGAAATCAAATTTGTCCATCCATATTTTAGACTCATTTTCTTTTTTCGAATGGTTGTATAAAGTAACAAAACTCAATTTTTTTTTTAAAATTTCCTTTATGATTAAATAGTTATGATAAGGTTTTTTTTTTAAACAAATTCTTCGTTTAGTATTAATTGAGATAAAAATTAAAGATTAATTGATGTTTAGCTAACATGAGAGTATAAAACATGATTAAACAGTGACGTAGTTAATATAAATAAACGCCTCCTTTCTTAAAGTGCATTTAAAAATATAAAATCTATTTAAAGATTATGTAAGAGGAGTAAAAACGTATTTAAAGATTATATAAGCGTAGAAAGTGCATCCCAATTTTAGTGAAAAGAGTATATAAAGAAACGATTTAATCTTATCCTCAATCTTTATTAATTATAATAATTATTTAAATTATATTATAATTATTATTTACATTTTCAAAAAATTAGTATAAATTGAGTAAAACATCAGTGTATAACACACGATTTAATTGTGCCGCAGCTAATAGTAATCCTCACCGTTTATTACTAATAATTAAAATGCGTTTAATGATTAAAGGTAATGTTGTTTAAAAAGTGTATTAAAATATTAGTGAAAAAGATAATTTAGAGAGATAATTTATAGGAAATGCAAACCCCATTTATTTTTAAAAAAATACAAATTTCATATCACAATAAGAGACAAATTCTTGAACATAAATGAGTAATGTGCTTAGAAGTAAGATTCAGTGTATATGCTACTGAAGTTGGTCTAAACTACAACACCACATAGAATAATGAATAGCTATAACTGACATCTTATTTTCCTTATTTTACAGATATTGGCACAAATGGTAATGCTCATTGCTTATATTTTTACTTTAGAAGCTTTAAATAAATTGTAACAGTCGAAAATATATTTTTATTTGTCTTTTCAAGAACATTTTTTATGTGTTTTTCTATTAATGAATATAATTTTTGCTAAATAATGTGTGCTAACACAATAACAATTGATCAAATTAGGGAATTCTATTAAACGATTATTTTTGTTTTGTTTATATCTACCTCTCTATGCTCAAACCAAATTTTATTGAAATATGTGTTGTAGTTTTAGAGTTAATTGATTTTTTATAAACTCTGCATTCATATAGTAAACGAAAAGAAATTAATAATTTATAAATTACCTAAAATCCTTTTTCGAAATACGAGTCTTATGTATCTACAGATTATTTTAATATTTGCTAAACACTTTCACAAACTTTTCCTATTATTTTGGATTATTTTAGCTCTTGGTGCAGTTACAAGTAAGTAAACCATATATACGTAAAAAATAATAATCATCAGTTAAAATTTTAAGTTTAAAATTTTTATATTTTTGAATTTATTTAACGTCAGAAATTATAATCATCAGTTAATAATTAAAGTTTAAAATGTTTATTTTTTCGAATTTAGTTAACGTCTGATTCCACTGTATTGTTTTTGCGCAACTTTATACCTTTTCAAAATCTAATAATTATTCATTTTAATTCATAATTTTTTCACGAATACTTTAAATCCTAAAACTTAAAATGGATCAAAATTTTACTAATTACAGTTTCATTTGTCAAAAACTAAAGACTATAAAAGCAACACTCATGGGAGCTGTTATAAACTTATTTTCAGCCATGTTCAATTCTTAAATGAAGACGAGCTGTATAGCCTTAATAGGATGGGTTCAAAAACTTTAAATGAGGTTCTGGAACCTTAATAAACTATTTATTTTATTGGATTTGTTTTTGAAAATTACTTTTCCTTCGCACTTTTTCCAATTTTTGTGAGATATTATAAATTATTTTTTAAACATTATCTTACATTTTTGAAGAAAAATAGTTTTAAGCTATTTTAGCGTATAACTTTCGATTCAAAAATGAAAAGCGCTACAATACACGGTTATCCAACACAACATAAAGATTTAATAAAAGGAAAAGCGCAAGCAAAATCATTTTGGAGTTATCCAAAATTTTCTTATGAAATTAATATGTAAAACTAATATAATACATATAATATGATGCAGTACAAAAAATGCTAAATTTTTAAAGTGTTTCTACTTGGTACAGTACTCATATTATTTATACCTGAATAATTTAAATCTCTGACTCTGTATAAAATCAAACAGTTTACTTTATATTTTATCTATAATAAGAATAATCAATAAATTGTAATATCATTATTTTTCGATTCATAATCAATACAATTTATTTTATAGGTGGAGTCAGTGATGGTAAAACTTCAAACAACTTTGATTACTTTTAATTTTAAGAAAATATTTTATTTCATAACTTTCATCTAAATATTACTTAATATTGCTCTTACTATAATATTCCAACGTTAATTGAACCAATAAATAATACGTAAATATTTTATTTCAAACTGAATTTTGTTTATTCGCGCATTTATTTAGACTTTTAAATAAACTAATTAACCAGTAAGAAAATTTGATGATGAAGCACACCTTTCTGATTTAGTATGAAAGAAAGCATACCTGGAAAATGTTCTCAATGTTCTATAAGGAGAGTTTTTGGGAAAATGCTCTTAAGGAGATTTTATTATGCCAGTATAGGTGCATTGTATAAATTCTGTTGTACTAGTTTTTTTAAAGTCCGAAACAGTTAGGTAGCCTAATATCACCTTACTTCGTGCTTATAGCAACAATTATACAATTTTTATTTAGTTATTTAGTTATTTCATGTATATTATTCTACGGATTCGTGCTAAAAGATAAACCAATTTAAGCAAACAGAGAGAAAAATTAACTAAATAATAACCATCAGCATTTCTATGAAAAATGCTGCTAAGTCGATAGTTTCTCAAGTAGTCAGTAGCACAAGCATCGCAAACATAAATATATGTAATTTTCGTGTGATTCGGTTTAGATATTCAGGTTTGTATACGGATCTAACCGATAAACAATAGGGACAAATTAAAGAGAGTTTCATACAACCATTTAATATTTCTCCTGTCATTTTGTTTTGAAGAGTATAGAAAAAAAGGTTTACTATTTTTTTAATATCATTTCTTATTTTTTAGCCATTCATGGAAAACGTGGAAAGAAGGGATACGTACATGACCGTAGCCAAGGCAAAAAGAAGGGTGGTGGACTTCTTGGTGGTCTTCTTGGTGGTTAAGAAAATATAGCCCAAAACTATAGGTGAATAATTTTAACTATTACAATATGATAAAAGAGTATGCCAATTACATTTATTTTCATTTTTTCAAAATAATCACTTCTCCCAAATTCAGTTTTCATCTTATTTTAAAAAGTAATTACGCTCAACTTTCTGGTAATAATATAATGTAGCATAAATTAAAATAGAACTTACATTATTTAATAACATTTGACTTCCTAATTGCATAGTAACGACATTTTTCAAAACAAGTATTTTTTTTTAATTTTAAAAAATTTCTAATTATTATCCTATTATATTTAATAGATTATAAAATACTTTTAAATACTTTAAAATGTTATTCATTTCGAATAATTTTGGATGATATTTAGTTTATGTGAATTTTTGCATCAATATAGTCTATATCGAGTTTAAAATATGTATGTGCTCTTCACAAACGATGTACATACATTCCTATTATAGAGTTTAGCAAATTTTTCTGAGCAGAAATATTTTCAATTTTAAAAAACAAAACAACATCTTTTAAACATTTTTATTCTGAGTAATTTGACGCCATGTATAAGGCGATAGTCCAAATGATTTACAAACTTACTTATACATACTCATTGAAAACAAAAAATAACACACTCATTATGTAAATAGCTATCATCTGTGGACTCAATTATTTTGCTCATAGTTGCTTATTTAAAATTAAAACCCTTTTTTAAAGACAAATATCCCTTTAAAGTATTTTTTTCCTAATTTAATTTAGTAAACCTCAACTGATGGTTTGTTTGACTTCTAATAAATCAATAAACTTGGTGCTAGTGTGACTAAAGAATATTACTTAAGCTCATGCCAATTAAGCATACATCTCAATATTTGGATTTTAGATCTAAAACCATCTTTTAAAATGTGTATGAACGCTCGATTCTGTATTAACTTGGGGTAAAGTAAATATTCAAAATGTTCCCACAAACAGACAGGTTACTCCATAGCTTTTAAATTGTTGTAAAATTTTTCGATTGTAATGTTACACTGATCTCAGAGAAGAGGAAAGATTTCTTTGACAATGAATATTAACTCTGTGTATAAATTATACAATAGCTTACATTATATATTTGTGTATCATTATATTACATTTTCAAATGTACGGAATAGATAAAAAAAACTACCTTACAGCGAAAATATTATAAAATATTAAAAGGAAGATATATATCACAAGGAAAGTATTTGTTACCAAAAAAAAGTGGTTTGAATCAATATGAGCATCAAAAACTGAAGCTCAGGCCGAATTCTACAATCGATATTTAGTTTAAGTTTAAGGTGTTTAAGCAATCATTAATTTTTTTTTGTTATATATTTCATATTACTAATACCTTCGACATGGTGTTTCTGGCGTAGATTCATTGCAACAAATCACTTTTATAATTAGGAATAAAACAATTCAATTCCTTACAATAGCTTTTTTAAAAAATAACAATACATTTAAAAAAATATATTATTAATTTGTCAGAAATCATTTTTGTTTATTAAATATCCGTTATCTTAATGATTGTAATATCTTTTTTTTCAGAGGAAATAACAAAATATGGATAATAAAACTGGACTCAGATTTTCTTAGACTATGCTCGAAGACAACTAACAGTTCTTCGAAAAAATTTTTTAGCTAATTTTTGTACTTAACCATACGTAAATATCAATAAAAGTATATTAGTTGCATGTATTTATATGAGTATATTTTTATTGACTCATCTAAAAGTTCTTATCGAAAAAAATGCGTTGGCTATCAAAATTGAGTATACAAAATCTGCGTCTATCTTTAATATTAACAAACCAAGTTAAAAATTTATTGTCACAAATGAATTTTATAAGAATTATTGTCTAGAATTTCAAAAATACAGCTTTTTAAAAAATAAAAATGTTTCAGTACAATGTATTTTTATGCAATATCGAGTATATTTTGAATTTGATTTGCAGTATAAACAAAATAAATATGTGTATAAACACTTCGATACCTTAACTTTATTACATGTTTGGAAACAATTTGCATATTTCATAGAGTATAAAGTAATATTTGTTTACATGGAGATTTTTCAATTTCACCGATTTCTGCAAATCTTAGATTGATACTCAATTTTTACAAAGTTCTGAATGTTTGACTCCTAATACGTTTTTGTTTTATTTATCTAGATCAGAAACAAAAATAATTTTTCAGTGAAACAATTTTGAATAAGCAACTCTTGGTTTGAAATTTTAACGTTTACATTTTTTAGCATGTGATTAAATATTTTTGTTAAACATGGCGATCTGATTCAATCTGATGATATATCTGATTCAATCTGATTTAATATCTGATTCAATCTGATTATATTTAATTTCATTTAATCACCGTAATTGAACAACCTACCCAATTTTAGAGTTGACAACTATTAATGTTCAACTTGTAGTTTTGAAGCCACTGCAGAACTCCCCCTAACGAAAATGAAAGGTATTTTTGAGGCTTGTATGAGGTTGTTCTGAGGTGTCAGGGTTGATATACGGTAACAAACTTAAAAGATCAACCTCTTAAGGTGTGTAATAAAGGTGTATGAAATTGTTTTATTCGCACTTGAGGCTGTTTTGAGATTAGTAGAAATCTACTTTGAAGCGATTAGTTTAGGAATTAGTTTTTGAGATGTACGGATCATTTCTTCTACACTTCAAGTAAATACGTATATTTGAAGTGTGAATTATTTCACCCGATTTAACAAAAATTATTTCTGAGTTATATATTAAGTTGATTTTGTGAGGTGCTAATGAGGTTGAAATAGAGATTTATTAACGAGTTATTTTTGGTGTAAAACATAACCTTATTTTCTACCTCAGGTGTATATTTTACATCTATCAACTTCAAAGCAACCTCAAAAAAAAACCTTATTTTTTGCAAGGGGAGCAAGTATTAGGAATAATTCGTATTTGTGGAAGACTTCGTGATGGAACTAAACCACATTTGAGTTACATAGAAAGAAAAACCACAAAAAAATCCCACTGTTCCATTTAAAAAAGAAAGAAAAAAGAATATAAACTTAACTTCTGTTCTGAATTCCTTCTATTCTTTAACTCCACAAACTGTTGCAGGCCAAGGCCATCTCCAGGTTTCAATCATCGGGACTTATAAATACCTCTTAGAGGAAAGAAGGCCTCAGAACGGATTAATTTAGTAGTCTGACGTAACATGCATAAACTGCGCAGTGGATGAAAAATAAGAAAGAAGTCTCTACTTTCGGGCTACTAAGCTGCACAGTATTGGTAATTACAAACGATGTCATCACATTTGGGCTACTAAGGGATCGAATTTTTTGTTTATGGTAACCCGTGCTTAAGCGTTCACTCTTCTAAGAGGTATTGGAGTTATCCGCCTCCATAGTTCCTTAATGGTTGACCCCAATTTTATGTAATGTTTTCATCAATTCAATGTTATGGCAGCTATACAGCTTTTATTTAAACTAATAAATTTTGTGAAATGAACGAAAAGTAATCATACATAGATATACACCAATGAGCCACTACATTATGACCACTCTCCATCTATAACAGTGGGCTCACCCAGGTTTTCATGGTTTCTCGCCCAGGAACAATGTTTTCATGACGCACATTAGGACCCATAAGCCTCATTGAACAATCCCTGACGTATGTAAGCTACTTGAACATAGTTGCAGACCAGGTTCACCCATTCATGGCAACAGTTTTTCCTGCGAGGGATGGTGATTACCAACAGGATAATGCACCATGTCATAAGGGTCGAATCGTCGAGGAACACTGCAGTGACTTTCAAGTCATGTCTTGGCCCCCAAATTCACCTGACCTTAATCTAATAGAGCATTTGTGCTCCTACTTGGAAAACCAGATTTGTGCTGCCACAATACCCCCTCGCAATGTGAGGGAATTGCGGGACCAGTTTGCGATCATAAAATAATCATAAAATAATAAAATATTCATAAAATAATTGGTACAATAATAATTATAATATATTTTCCGTTTTACAATAATAATGTGTAATCAGTCTATATCTTTTTTTTCATTAAAAAACTCATTCATATCCAATCTTGGACGTGTAGGGGAGCTACCAAGTAAAGTTTTATGTCCGTCTTTTTCAGTCTTTAAAAAGATATTTCCTTCGAGGAAAAAAAATAAGTTTCCTTCTTAATATGAACAAACTAAATGATTAAAAAGGCCCTAATTCCAGGAATATAATCTTTGGCTAAGATAAAATTTCTCTAGCCATTCAGCCATCTCCACTCAGACAGGCAGAGAAAAAGTAGAAAATTCATTACTACAAGTAGTAGTATATTACATATAAAAGTAGTATACGTTATTACATGAAAATGCAAAAAGAAAATCTTGCTTCTCTCACTTTTTAAAGATTTTGTCGTATTATTTTTTCGGTATTCATCTCTGAATTTTGACAGCAAATAACTTGAAGCAATATTTTTAGTAAACCAGTTTCTACCAATATCAGAAATGGTTATTTTGCTACAACTTCATAAATATTCAAAGGAATTAAACAACATTTTTGGAGACATTTGAGATTAATTACTAAAAATTGCGATTTAAAATTTAAAAAAATTAAATATAAATTTGTTAAAAACTGTGCTATACATGAGTGTTTAAGCTAGTTATTTTATACTCGCATGCGCAGAAAAAATCAAGAATGTATATTTCATAATTTTGTAGGGAATCGTTTTTGGTAACTAATGATTAAAACTTTATTTGAATATCTTAAAAATTTAAAAAGTTTCAAGCAATTTTCTAGGTAGTTTTTGTAATATTTTAAAAAAAGCTCAAAATAATGAGGGGTGTATCCACAAATTTCATGTTATGCTATTAAACATTCATTTATTAAAAATAGATAAGTATAATGGAGGACCACACCCCATAAATTTATGTTTTCTTTTGAATGTGTTCTTTTTCTACGCCATCAAAATTTAGTTTCCGAACAATTCTTGTAAGGTATTAACATTATTATTGAATTTCGTCTTATAAAACAAAATAAAGTTTGTGACGACCCCCGATCATTTTAAGCTCTGTTTTGAAACGTACAAAATCTACTTAGAAAATTTTTTGAAGTTTTTTAAATGTTCAAGAAATTCAAATTAACTTTTCTTATTACTTGCCAAATAGGTTTCACTGCTAAATTATGAAAAATCTTTTTTTCTAATCTTTTCAGTGCAAACGTAATATAAGAGAACTAACTTAAATACTCAAAACTTGCTCAGTTTTAAAAACTTTTTTAATCAATCTTAAAAAGCTCCACAAATTTTATTTAGTTCCATAGCATGTCTAAAGAGCTACAATTAAAAACATAAAATGACAAATTAATTTTTATAAAGATGTTCATATTTCCATAAATAAAACTTGCGAAACTTTATGCAGCTATTAAAAATAACAGCTAAAGTAATCGATACAAGTTACTAAGTTTTCAGTTATAAGTTTAACGTTTTTTGCTCGATTTTCTCACTTAGGGTGATCAGAAGTACTTGTTTTTTTTTCGTGTTCTAATTTCCAAACATCTGAAAGCATAAAAACACCTCTAAAGTTTCAAAATAATTATTTAAATATGCACTGAGAATTTTTTTTTAAAATAAAAGTCATAAACTGAAAGTGTCTCATTATTATAGGGTAGTGTATCAACTGCAATCTGCCAGTGCAAGTACAAGAGCTCGCCAAAGTCAACGGTCCTCATATTTCTGGTTAATATATTGGACCTTCAAAGCTGGTATCAAATTTGTAGCTCTGAGAGTAAAATGTTCCTTTATATAATCGCAATGTTTTATATCCTTAAATTTAATCTCTTTTTCGAAAGATTTTAAAGCTATAAGTGATCCTTTCGGCACTTTCTCAAACTTTAAATCAGTGAGCACAACAAAAAAAATCTCATAAAAAGTTTCAACTAATCATTTTATGTTATTTCATTCTAAATTTTCTTCGTAACTTATTATTCAAACTTTCTCTCATTTTAGTATTTACATCCAGGTTCCTGTTCTATTTTTGGATTCAAATTTGCATAAATTAATATTTTAAGTCTTCCTTTAGGCTGAACTGTGAGAACCATGCTATTCCCCCGACCTAGTTAATGGACCAATAGCAATTACTAGTGTTTCATTTTTCAAGAAGTCATTGGTTGCAAGGTATTCCCAAATTTTTATTCATTTGCACTTCAATTTTGAGTAACTTGGAGGATATCCCATCTGATAATAATGGTTAAATAAAGTTTAATTTACTATTTTAAAATCCTTTGTCTGTCGCCTAGATCACCCGACTGTCATCACGAGAAGTTTAGCAGGATTGATGCATGTTCGGAGCGGGTGCAGGATTGATTAATTTCAAATTATTTTATTAAATGCAAATTATTTTATTAAAGAAATGTGTAACAAAGAGAGAACCATCACTCTGCTAAATAATGGAATTTTTCTTTTTGCTGTGGAAGGGAATCGTTGAAGAAAAAGACTAAGTCTCCGCTACTGTTCGAGTTTAGTGACAGTAGATGCAATGCCTAAAAAGTCCGCAATTACGGAAAAGCATTTTTCTGATTTACTAAATGTGGATATGATTATTTCGAGATCCTTAAGAAGTGTTGGAGGCCTGATTTGGGATCGATTTATTTTTTTATTGATGATCTTACCTATTTCAACAAATCTCCATTAACAGAAAAAATTCTTTGGAAAAATAAAGGAAAAGCGATTTCAAA